TACCCCAGAGAGCGAAATAAAGGGTTCAGTTCGACATTCCAACCACCTGAAGAAGGCCAGAGCGTACAACGGCTGAAACGTTGTAATAAATATGGCGATACAGTCCGAATAATGTAAATAATGGATCAAATCTTCTTCGATTGACTAATTTTCCGATCCTAGTTTCTCAAATTCATAATATTTAGCAGCCTATTTCAAACGAAGAACATATTCGATAACTGGTTTATTCATTTTTGAGAATAAATAAACTTAGGTCTCTCTGAATTCACTATTTTTTTCTTGTGTGCTATGTTTTTTCACTATTAGCTGATTTATATCGTCAAACGTCATATATTCTGAGTTGGGTGTGCAATTGCTGATAATTTTATAATAGCCTCACAAGCAACAATGGCCAGCAAAAGATCAGTTATTTGGTTTTCTCCTCCAACTGATGTTAAATCCTGTAGCTTTTCCGTTCTAGCCTTAGTTGTTAATATCCTAAGCCACGCTTGTGTATATTCATAATTATCAAGTGATAATTCGTTCGATTCTTTAGATATCGGCGACTCCATTGTGGTGTAGTGTTACTGACTCACGATAAGTAGTATGCACTCAACTGCGTCATGGTTAATAGCTGTAGCTACTTATAATCTTTGTGACTTTATATGCAAATGAGTCACCTAAAAAATAAATAAAAGAAGTGTGTTAGCAGCCTAATCCCTTTATTTAGACATAAACATATTCTGTTGTTATGATAATACGAGGCGTGTTCACTTCAAGAAAGAATTTTGAATTATTAAATCATGAAATTAAAAATACCGAAAGAGAGCTAACACAAAGTAAAAATAAATAAAGTGATGTATTAGCATACTAGTCTCTAATTTAGTAATGATCATATTGCGTTATTATGGTAGCACATGATGTTCGCTTCAAAAAAAATTATTTTTAAATCATTTAAAATAATCCCCGCCATCAAAAGTTAATACGAAACAAAATAATATACAGCAACCTGATATCCGCTAATTACTAATCATAAATTTCTTTGCTATTGTAGCAAAAACGTTTCAAGCGGCGTAAAGTACTACTTTGTGTTACCATAATAACGAAATAGCTCATTCCTAAGTTCTTAGATTCCTAAGTGTGAGTAGTCACCTAAGATATAATAATATAGGAAAAAGGAGAGACAAACACACATTATTATACATCCAGAAGTTTGAAGAATTTGACCATGAAAAATATTTTCCCTAAAACCTAGCTTCCATGTGTCTCCTTCAGAATTGTCCCAAAAACAATAGCAAAAGGTTGGTGGCTCTCCCTGTTCAATTGTCCTCATTAAAATCCTGGCATGTTGGTCGTTGGAATAAGTTTATTCCTTTATTGTTAAAATATATGAACGACTTTTGATTCATTTCGAAATTTAAAGATGGTTAACACGACTTTATCTTGTAATTATTTTCCTTACACATTGGTACATCAATAAGTCCGTAGCCTAATGACGAAAAAAGCACTTATTCTACAAAGCAAACCGTTATTTTTCAATATAATTTCCTTTGTCAATGCACTTAATTCAGTGAATATTCATCGCATAAACGGACCTCCTATTTTTATTTGAACTTATCATTGATAAGTTCAAATAAAAATTCAGTTAATAACTACGTATCTAACTACGGGCGTAGATCTTGCCGCATATATATATATATATATATATATATATATATATATATATATATATATAAATTCTTGAAGCTATATACATAAAACAGTTGAAACCTAACCTGAACAAAATAAACTATGAAATCTCCACAGATATTCTTAAATGCCTATAATCTATAACAGAAGCCATTGGTTTATACCAACGGCTTCCCATACTTAATACTTCTCGTTTTTCACTCTCGCGTGGTCATGTGTGACGTCACGAGCTGCGACGCGATTTTCGCTTCCGCGTCTCGTATATACGAGTTTGTCGTTACTTTGAAATTTTCAAGCAGCAAGGGCGGACTATTATTGTGGTTTCGTCAGTATGTTGTTTGATTTATTGAAATTGTCATCTTTGATAATGAGTTATGTAAACCGAAAGCTTAGATTGAATTTAAACATGTATCAATATGGTGTTTTCCTTTCGTCTTTCAACGATAATGCGATTAAACTTATCAGACAATATGAAAGGAACTTACTTAAAAAAAAAATAGACAAAACTTGTCTATATTATTTAATGAAACATGCATTTATGAAAAATTGCTGCCTAAATATACAATATATATATATATATATATATATATATATATATATATATATATATATATATATATATATAATGATAAAAAATATACTGTTGCTAAGGTATGAATTGAAACGTAAGTAATATTTTACTTACTTTTAGTTTAAAATATCACATGAACCCTTTTTTTAACATGGAGTTGGGTGTATTTACGAGATGTTAACCACTCTCTCGATAGACTTATATTTGGTCAGTTGTTCAAGTCTGAACCGACTGTTCGGTTAAACTCTCTTCCTACGGGTGGGAGGAACCCGAAGGAAGCTACGCCGAAGGGCGGAGTCTCCTTCGGGGAGGTAAAACCGGCCCTGAACCCGTTTATACGGGTTCAAATGGGCTATTTTTTGGCCGAGCCTAATGGCTCGGAAATGCCCACGTTAAAAAGGCCTTGTGCCACATGACACCCTCGTGGGGGGGTGACTGAATATCGACTTATATTTGGTATTTTTTCTACAGGGAACATAGCTGTAACAATTACTTGACAAATATAACGTGAGCGCCTCTTTTATATTATTTTTTAGCTATCCAGCAATCTTAAAAAAAGTTAGAGAAATATTACATGTAATCTAATATTTTATTGAATTTTAGGTTACTTTCTCATAAGAAGACGCTTGTTGAGGAAATGTTAGAAAATTACCAATAAAGTTGAAATTTACTATAGTTACCGCTTTAATTTTCTGATAATGTCGTCTATGGACGTCCATATTTACAAAAATCGGCACGTCCATACACAAAAACTATTAAAAATTCTTTTAAAAATACTGAGGATTGCTGAATTGTAGTAAGCGTTTCCATTTATGGTTACTAAATATAGTTTTTACGTAATTGCAATATCAACTAACCGCTAAACTTTAATACAGAATTTTAAAATATTTAAAAATTTATGAATTATTATAATTAAAATTTTTTAAAAATTAAAACAATTCTTGTAAAAATTCATTATTTTTCGAAAAAATATTTTTCTTAAGGTAATAGTGTCTATAAAGTATCATATTCATAAAAGCAATTAATTTTTTCAAATTAAATAATATCTGAGTTATGAATTTCTCGAAATTTCATAAACTTAAATTAATGGGGTATAACAGATATAAAAAAAATATTTTTACCAACATTTTCTAAAATAATTTCATTCATTTGTGAATAATTCCTGAAAGTTTCATTAAAATCGGACAATTATCTGATTTTTGCAAGAATTTCCAAATCAATGTGTTTTCACCGCAAAAAGTGGCTCAAATTTGACATACAAATTTATGGTCCTACGTTGACGCCAGAAAAGCAAGATTTTTAACCAGAATTTTAAAATTTCTAAACAGTATTTTTTTAAAATAATTTTTACAATAAAAAATCATTTTAAGGCAAAGATTTTGACGATAAAACTTTATTTTTTATTAAATTTGGGGCATTTTCATCATATATGCTCATTTTTAATGAATGTTTGGAGGTACCTAATAATATAATTCGAAATTATTATTTCTTTTATATTATTTATTATATATACTAGCCGAGGTAGCCGGCGTTGCCCGGGTGTATATGGCTGCGATTGTATAACCGCCACCATGTATACTCGCACCCCCTGTCTAGAAATGTCTGCCTGTGTCCTTGCTTGTATACATCATCCGTTGGTATACTAAGCTACTCCCACCTCATCTTTTTTACGATATGTCCTTTGTAAGTGCTTCATTGTTCTTAATAAATTCCATCGATGAAACCTTCTTGGGTGGTCGTTGCTCAGGTTTAAATTTGTTTCAATGTTTTAGATATTCAAAAAATTTCCTATGGCCGTAATAATTTTCAAATAGTATGTCTTTGTTCACAAATCTAATAATCAAACAAAAACAGGGATGAAGCATCAGAGCTTAATTCATCTGCAAGTGCAAATGCATGAACACCCCCTCCTTTTTCGCGCGTTTACTGTAAAGCTGGGGTTAATAAAAGGTTCTTCGAGAATTGTTCCCCTTTAATGCTTCAATAATCCTTCTCAAACAATGTTTGTATCAAAGGTTGTTCGAATACCAATTTAGGATGGAATCATATGAAGAAAAATGACAAAAGGCAATTCTAGACCTAGTGTGTCGCTGAATTCGTCCACTTTGCTGAAATAATCTAAACCAAACATTCACGCAAGACAATTTGTGTGTCAGATGTAATTTACATGACAAATTTGGAAAGCATCGGAAAAAACTAGTGAGTTATGACCGAAAAACAGGTTTATTTAACAGTTTTTCGTTATATGCGGGGGAAGCAAGCAAGACGAAAGCCACACTATCTTATTTTTTGCATGATAGCAAATTTTTTGCAACATGTTTGAAGGAAATTGGATTAAAAAAAAATGAGGAATTTATTCCAGTTTTTATTTTAAGTTGTACGAAAACCCGATTTTTTCATTTTTTTTTTTTTCAATTTTTTCGTGAAGATAATGTCGCAGGAAAACTATCAAACACTTTACATAAACCTCATAACATGAGCTGATGTTTTGCATTAAGTGCAAAGACCATCAGCTCATCCAGTAAAAATTTTGTTTGCCTTAGTTTTAGCAAAAAGTCGAATCCATCTTCAGTTTTATCGATTTTTCTGCTAAACCCGGTGTGGGGGAGGACAGGAGATTGAAAAGTTAGTTTTGACCTATTTTGATAAATTTGCAACATGTGTGTACAATTTCATCGAAATCGGTCGAGAAATGTGGACGTGCATAAATAGCATACATACACACAGACTGACATCATGTTTTAAAGGTATAGATGAGAATTACGACCATATCACGTTAAAACACCGTTTCCCGTACGATCCCCGAAGTTAAGCAACGTCGAACCTGGTCAGTACCTAGATCGGTGACTACTTTGAAAGTCCAGGTGCTGTAAGCTTAGATGTACCGGTGGTGTAATCGATAATGACTCGGAATTATTAATCGGAGAGCCGAGTTCCAATTCCAGTCGGGTTCGTTATATTACGCACAAATACCCTTGGGAAAGTTATCAATCCACCTCTCAAAACTTTCTGCACCTTTTCAATTGATGGTAGCTTTTTGACATGTATTGCTGCTTTTCCAATTTCTCTGTAAAATTTCTTAAGGCCCGTTTGAGATATTTTATTTTGGCGATAGAACCTACAACGTTTTTCGTATCGTCCTGTTCTCTGTTTCTTTAACTGCAGTTTCTGGTTTAGCTTTCCTTGATTAATGGAATTTCATTTAGCGATTTAATTTTATATTTCCGCTTGATCTTCTTGCACATGCGTGTTGAGACATTTGGGTTTCCATTGAGCTCATCTAATATCGAAATCTCACATCTGATTTCCTTGATTTCTCGCATCAGTTTTGCTGGCTTTCTTTGTCTGTTCTTTAATCTTTTCATTGTCTTGACACTCAATAAATGCTAAATCTGTTGCGTATATGACATTATTAACTTCTGTAATGTTTTCCAGTGGTTTGTCCGTTAACACTGTTTACAGTGCAGCTTTGTATATTTGCACAATGTGCTTATTGGACTTTGTCATATGAATTTTGGGAGGCTAGTCTCTGCCTGAGATTTACATGAGAATTACTCTGCTGAGTACTTGGATGATATGGTTTTTCGCTTCGGTGATTTCACTTTTTGTTGTTTTCAAGGAATTCTACCCTAATGTAGTGGGACTCATCTTCAGTGACATTGTCTGGATAACTACAGGTTATGTCACAGATTCTTCGGTTTTACTTCCTGGGAGATTATTTTGTATCTGATTTATTTTAGTTTTTAACTCATTCTCTGCCATATTATTTATCTCTATTCTCATCGTTTATTGTTTGAGTGATGAATTATTGTATTCTGTCCTATATCTAGTTTTATCTTATCTATTTCTGCCTTTAAGAGTCTTTTTTTTTTTTCGTACGATATCCCTGCGGACATTGGCAAGCATGTTTGGGGTTGAGATGAGGTCTTCTTTCACTTCCTACCATAGTTCTCCATATTTTGTATGTCTGATTCGTAGCGTTCTTTCGTGGGATTTTCAGTGTTGTGAAAAAGAATATCATGACTTGTTGATACTCTTCGGGAGACTATTTCCTTCGCTTTCTTTTTATTAGTTGATTTGGCATAGAGTTACTTGGTGCAAGGTTGAAAATATTCCGGGTTCGGTGAGCAAGTGTCTCTTCGTTTTTGGAAGAGTTTATTCCAGTGACAGATTTTTCGGCCCCAGTCTGGTTCCTCTCTGAGGTACGTGGCCCTTGTTGACCCGGGTGATGGCCGATCCTGTATGAAAATTTGTTCGTAATCATTGAGATTCGTAAATTTTTGCGTTTTATTCTTGATCGCCAAGGGGTAATTTTGTTCAAGTTACCAGCTCCAGGACGACAGTCGACCAAGACAAGAGAGCTCGTTCTATCCATGAGATAGTGGAAGGAGGGATTATATTCATATATCCATTGTTAAAGAGTTCATTATTGAGTACTGCATTCGGGGGGGGGGTAGCGTAGGCGTATAGAGATGTTATTGACTATACTAAGTTTTAACTTACTATAAGTTGCAGTGACCACTATCAGTTGAAATATCAGAGGTGGGCATACTTTAATATTGAGGGTTATTACAAATAAAATTAAAATGGAAGAACTAAAGTAAAATAAAGTCAAAGTGACTTAAAATGAAATTAAAGAAAAGAAAAAATGTAATTTCAAATTATTTAAACTTTACGATTGCTTAGATGTTGAAAGGCAGGCACAGAATGTCATTCGACAAATGATCAACTTTTATAGCTATCAAGTTTTATAGGGCAGATCATCCCCCTCCCCCTACAGTTTGGCGAAAGGACCGTCAAGGAATTAATTAAACAAAGATAAAAACAAGAAAAAAATATATTTTACATTTGGGGTCATTTCTCAACCTGCTAGTCATTAAAATAAAAATTTTCACTCAAAGTCAAAAAGCAAATCATTGTCGGATTAGTATACCTGTAATAATGGGCAAACCGAGGGGAAATACGATCCTTGCTGATGCGCGACAAAGATACATTATGCCGAGAAAAAAAAAAGGACGGAAGGTTCCGCTGAAGATGTGGGAAAAAAGTTAAAAATATAGACAATAAAAACTAAATAAAAGGGCAGCGCCGTCTGAAGAGACGTAAAATACAATTATCGGCTGCACAGTAGAAGTCATCATCAGCTTCATCATCATCATTACTACTGTGCAGCAAATTCATCACCATCATCATTCAAATTCTAATTCAACTTCTTTTGTGTTGAATACAGTAACAATCTTTCTTTTTTTTAATCTAAAGTGTTATTGCTTAACAGTTGTCCTTGTTATTAATAGAGTACTGTAGTGGGTGGGTTGTTAACAGTACAGGGAGGGTTTTAAAAGTCCAAATACACGTTAAATAAAGACTGTAAATATGGCGTCCCTACTTCGCGGAAATTCAGTTATCGCGGCTGGTCTCGGAACCAATCTACCGCGATAAACGAGGGATCACTCTAATTTAAAATGGTATAAAATTTACGATTGCTTACATGTTGAGAGGCAGGCACAAATGTCATTCGACAAATGTTCAACTTTCCGACGCCAATAAAAGTGTTAGTTATCTATCTATCTATCTATCTATCTATCATCATCATCATCATCATCATCATCATCATCATAATAATAATAATAATAATAATAATAATAATAATAATAATAATACGACCACCACCACCCCAGTACATGAATGTAAACTTCAAATCTTGGGCTAAATCTGTTTATTTGCTGTACGGAAATTTGTTTTTGTTTTATTTTTTCTCATTTGTTTATTTTAAAATTAGAAAGAAGAGAATGCTTTTTTTAATCCTGAAACTTTCTGACGACCATTCTGTCTTGTTAGACTAAACAACAAAGTATAACGAAATGAGTTTTTCTCAAAGAAGAAAGTCAACAGCGTCGAAGATGACAGGTTTTAAATAGAAACAAACACGATCCTGATTCTTTCTCTTTTATCTTATGCAAGAAGGATTTTGATTCAAGAATTAAGTTGCTTCCAATTCTACTTGGTTGCTTTTTAATTAAGTTTTTTTTAAACTCCTTTAACGTTCAAAGTATTTTTGTAAGCTGCGCGTACAAACTCCTTGTTCAGGATTTTGGCGATTATCCGTGTCACATGACTTTAAAAAAAACAGTCTTGTTTTATCTTGACCTTCTTGGAATGGTTATATTGTCTTATGCGATCTCTAGATGCCCCTTACAAATATTGTAAAAGGATTTGGGGGAAAGGAGAAGAGAGAACGTTAAATCTTTTATCCAGAGTATTATGAGTGGCGCAAACGAAACACAAAATAAGACTCTCACACCGATGTGAAATTTGAAAGAAATTTACGTTCATTAAAAGCATAATAATAATAATAATAATAATAATAATAATAACAGAATACAAAATTAACACAACAAACTTGCATGAAATTTTCCTTTTTGCGCTTAACATTTTAAAATAAAAACTTCTAATTATAATTCTGTTGAGCCAATTATTATCAAAAAACATTCATTTACTTTCATTCATTTGATTGTCGAAATGAGTTGACAATTCACAGGTGTCGCTTAGTTTCTAGTTTGTTTAGACAACAGTTCAGTTTTACAAATCTGAGATGAGATAAATGTCGTATTTTCATAAAAATTTCAAAATCAGGATTAATTCCTCTAATTTTCTTATAAACTTTCACAAACAACTATAGAAAGATAATCGTATATCTCTCTAAATTTGTAAACTTTTCTCCTTTCTACTTTTATATTTTTTCTGTTACTTCTGTTTCTTTTGCTTTCAGCTTCTTTCTTTAACTCGTAGTCATCGGCGGCTTTTATTTTTTTCTTTTGTTCAGATCCCAGAACTAGCCGAAGTCTTCCTTGTCGATGCCGAAACCTTTCTGTCTGTCAGACAAATCAGACTTCTTAAATAGCCACAAATTGGCTCTGAATTGATTCAGAAATTCTATACTATGAGGTCGAAACTTACTTTCACCATTAGTTAAAAAAAAGTCACAAAATGTATCTCTTTAAACCACGCCTGTTTACAAAATTTATCAGACTTGATTTTGGTGGTTCTTTTACAATATCAATTTGAGTCTCACATATATAACTTTATACCCATTAAATTTTATTCGTCATTTTTGGCCAACCATCTGAATTCATTTCAGCATTTTTAGAGTTTAAAAAAGAACCTGTTAGTAACTTACTTCTATTAGTGAATGTTGTTTTAAATATCCCCCCCTCAAAAGTTATATGAACAAACCTAGTCTATTGTATTATTTTTTCTTTACCCATTATTTCTATATAATTTTACATTTCATTTTTATTATAAATTTTTATAATTGCCATGTTATTTTCCAAATCAACATGAACAGTGTGATTTTTATTATGTTTTTTTTTCTTTTCTCTAGCCATAAATCCTGTTGAGGTAAAACTTAACAACTAGTCAAACACCAACTTTTAACATCTGATTTACCACCTCCCCCAATATGCCGACTTTTAATTTTGTGGAGCTGTGCCTGTAAGTTAAACAAATATATAATATTAACAAGTGGATCGTGAATTCGAACTCTCGATCTTGAGATAAGCAAGGTATTTACACTATTTGGTAAAATTAATTTGTAAATGCTAATTTACAGTGTACAGATACAACACTCTGATCTCGTATTTATCCACAGTAATGTGTAAGATGGTTGGTTTCACTTAGGGCATCCATACACGTACATACTGGCCAAAATCAGAAATTTCTCCGATCCCAGCAACCATTATCAGAGTACTCTGACACCATCCAGGCTTTCTTCATTAATAAAGGCATGGAAAGCCTGAAAGCAGAGGCAATAGTACCATATCTCACATTACAGTATGGGAATAGGGCAGAGGAAATGAGAACAGATACTGCACTTT